AAAAAAAAAAAAAAAAAAAAAAAAAAAAACTGCTCTTTGGCCAGAATATTCAGAGCCTTTCCCCTAAGACTATTCCATAATCAAAGGTGGAGCCTAATGAGACAGACTGGACCTATCAGCAGATGGAAAATATAGGAGCATGAGGGCAATAAGTTCAGTTGAGAGATGGGAGTCTTTAAAAGACGTGGCTGAGCCGGGAGGTGGTGCCACAGGCCTTTAATCTCAGCACTCGAGAGGCATAGGCGGGCAGATCTCTGTGAGTTCCAGGTCAGTCAGCATTGTTACCCCGAGAAACCCTGTCTCGAAAAACAACAACAACAGATGTGGCTGACATCGTTATGCAACTGGATTCAATTCTTTTAAGTCCACTGGGGAGGAGCATTTTAGACGAAAGGGTCTGCCAATATAAAGGACATCAAGGAACAGGAGCTAGGTAGACCGAGCTAAGGAAGACACAGATGTGTGTGACGGGTGGGAAGAAGTCATCAAAACCAAGCTTTCAGCAGCCTTATGGGAAACTCTGGGTTTTATTTTTGGTGCCATGAGGAGCATGGAACTTTTTTCAGGGAATGACCAGTGCTGGTTCCTGTGAGATACAGTTGTTTCGGGAGAATGACTCTGTAATCAGAGCCGAGGTTCTACCCCTTATCCCAGGCAAGGGTATGTGTATGGAAGCCTAGTTCTGGGCCCAGAGAGTAAACAGAAGCATCATTTTAGAGCAGTGGTTCTTAACCTTGCTAATGCTGTGACCCTTTAATACATACAGTTCCTCATGTTGTGGTGACCCCCAACCATAAAATTATTTTGTTGCTACTTTATAACTGTAATTTTTGTTTCATTTTGTTTTCCAAGACAAGGTTTCCCTGTATAGCCTAGAACTCACTATGAAGACCAGGTTGGCCCCGAACTCAGGGATCTGCCTGCCTCTGCTTCTCCAGTGCTGGGATTTAAAGGTGTGTGTCACCACACCTGGCCATAACTGTAATTTTGCTACTGTTATGAATTGTAATGTAAATATCTGACATGGGTCCCCCAACAGGGTCATGCCCCACATGTTGAGAACTGCTGTTATAAAGTATGTTTTGGAGCTGAAATCTAGCCTGATTGATACATAGATGCAGTCAGGGAAAGCAAAACATGAGATGTGGATTCCAAGTTCCAGTCTGAACAGCTGGCTGGATGAAACTGCATTAAAAACATCCAGTAGAATCTTCTTGTTCCTTTCCCCCATCAAATCTTGCTTTGCTGGTCTTGACGGTCACAAAAACGGAAGAGTATACTGAAGCTGACAGACGTCACAGCCACATAGTCTGCTGTAGGCACGTGGGCCAGGCTCGAGCAGTCCTGAACTCTCTATGTAAAAATGGGATAATCTGCCGGGCGGTGGTGGCGCACGCCTTTAATCCCAGCACTTGGGAGGCAGAGCCAGGCGGATCTCTGTGAGTTCAAGGCCAGCCTGGACTACCAAGTG